AGGTACAATAATGGCCCAAGACCCATAAAAGGCTATTATGTTACATACTGTTGGGGTCCAGGTAAACCTCAGGTCGATTTGATAATCCTCCCACTAGAGTGCTTCGTGGCAGCTGTGGCCGGGATTCGCATAGCCCAATCCTCGAGACCCTGGAATCCGAAGACGTTTGCAGCATCGGAGGCTGACGAGATGTTTCTGTCAGCCTTTGAGTTGCATTTCGAGGCACTTTGGTGCACTCCGCGCTTTGCGAGCTTGTGTTGAGTCTGGGAGTCTAGGGGTTTCGGGCTTTGGGCTTTGCAATGTGGGGCCCGGTTTTGTACCAGCTTGTCTTGTGCGTAAGTATGCAAGCCTGGGTGGATTAACGGATGGGATGGGTCGGTGCTTGGATGGATGCTTGCATGGATGGATGGATGGACGGACGGACGGATGGATGGATGGACGGACAGATGTCTGGACATATATCCCAAGGCGTCAGCCATAAACCACACAGTGCCAACCAACACACACACACACACGCACAGCACAATTATTATGTATACTGTACACTGTACGCATTATGATGTACACATATGTAGGCACATGTGTGTACATACATATAGAGAGATAACATAAGATCCTCTCACCACACACATACACAAGACCATTTCATGCACATACACATATACTTATATACATAGACAGGCAGGCAGGCAGGCAGGAAGGCAGACCGACAGAGATACTATTAGTTCTTACAAAGTATGTACACACGCACATCCATCCATCCATCCATCCATCCATCCATACATACGTACATACATGCACACTGAGGCACCATCGCACCTGCGTGGCTGTTGCGGCATCATCCGAGCGTTTGGAGAATTCCTGGTAGGCCTCGGAGCTCTCGGAAGCGGAGCAGCGCGAGGCCGAGGGGATGATCCGGCAGCTGAAAGCCGAGGGCTCAGAGCTTAGGGTTTAGAAGTTTAGGGTTTAGGGAAATGGGATTGTGGTGCAGGGTCGCAGAGGTGATGCTGTATGGTTTGCTTCTCACAACAAAGGTTTTTTCTGCAGGATTGACAGGGTTTTGGGGTAGCTACTGGGGTTTCGATTTTGCGTTCGGGATTTGGGGTTGCGTACAGCTGTTGGCCTGCTGTCTCATGTTCGGACCCAGATGCTTGCAGGATGATTTGGGGGAGATGTGCGTGTTTGGGTGCCCTCGGTAGAAGTTGGTATGTGAGTGCTTTGGCCAAACGGAACCCACATTATAGGGTTGCAGCCTTTGTTTTCACGGATCATGCAATTAAGGGGTAGGCGTTGCTGGGTTAAACCCTAAACCCGAAACCCTGAACCAAAGCCTCCAAGCTCTGTGAGCTCTGAGGCTCCACTTTGCTTCGACTGAGTAAGTAGAGGAAGTGCAGAGGCACAGCCTCTCCGGGATCAAAACGCCGCATGGCCAAACAAACGCAACCGAGGCCATTAGCGTGTTGCTATTAGTGTATTGGTATTCGTATTGGTATTCGTATCAGCATTATAGCAATTAGCATCAGCATTATACTAGTATAGCAGTATGTCTGCTATTGCTATTACCATTTCAAGCAGAAAACCCGGAAACCCCACTAGGCACAACCCGAAATCAACAGAAGCTTCCAATGTGAAGTTGCTGCTCGACATCCAAAAGCCCGAGCCCTAGCCCTAGACCCAAGCCTTTATAATCCAGTCCCTACAACACAATGAGGGTCACTCTAGGTGTTGCCAGGACAAGACGGAGCCTGTCGGGAGACTGCAGTGGTCTGAACTAAGTCCCAGTGTTAGGGCTTCTGGGATGTGTTCCCTGTAGGTCTGTCAGCTCAACAATCCTTCATGACGCGTTATGTGGTCCCAGAGCCCGGTGACGACTTGCGGTACTACTCCTTAGTTGGGCTATTGTGAATTGTGGCCATCGGAGTCTATGGGGATGAGTTTCGGCGTGCCGAGAGTGCAAGACTCTAGACCCTACCTGAATTAATCTCCGGTCCATACCTCCAAACCCTTGCAAGCATGCCAGACAAGGGAAACGTTTCACTCTTGGATTCCGCCAATCACGTGGAGCCTGCGGAAATGGAGCATCAGACTGAATGAGCTTTCTGAGCCTTTCGAGACCAACGTCCTCTGCTGTAGAGGTTGCTCATGGACCCTTAACAGATTATCTTTCCTCTCCCCGCTTCGTCCTGTGCCTCGATTAGAGATATCTTGGTTGCGAACTCGCTGGAAAGCCACTGCCGGCTTTCAGTTCTCAAGCGCTCTCGAGGCGACACTCACGACGAACAACAAACGGGTGACCATCAACCGCAGGAGCAGTTAAGGGCATTGCAGGTGTGGAAACAAAAACCCCGGGCGAGCGTGTAGTCGGGAATTTTGCTTAATAAACAGAGAGGAGCAGCGCCCGGGCTGGGTTGAGAAGAAGGTCGTGGTCAGAATCAAGGACCGAAGCCGAAAGAAGGCTAGTCTTCAAGGACCATCTTTGTCGAAGGAGACCATGTCCGGGGGTTTGGTTTAGCATTCATTGGGAGCCCCCCTATCCGAAATGGCCCTAAGAACGCGGGCAAGACCTCCAGAGATGCGACAGTGCCCGAAGACCCGGAGCTTCTGTCTATGTCGGAGCATAGAAAGGCGAGGCCAAAGCCACAAAGCATGCGATGCAGGAAGGAGGCGAGTCCAGGTGTACAAAATTCCAAGATGAAGATCTTCCAAACCCCAAAGCCTAAGCCCCCAACGGCTGTTCTCTTATGCAGCATCGGGCTTCAAATCAATCAAAGTACTGGTGTCACAACGCCCGGAGCAGGAGTAACTCGCCGAAGCCAGTCAGAGTTGCAATGTTCGGTGGAGTCGGTCATAGAGCGGTAATAAAGAACAAATCTGTTAGTACTAGCTACTAGTAACAGTAGAAAGAAAAACCGGCAGCCGGTTGTGATGCGAGTGTATTTGAGAGGGTAATGCTGGGTGAACAGCAAAAATGAGACTCGTAATGCCGGAATCTCCACGCCGTAGTCAGACCACCTCCCGGAATGTTTCGTCATGTCCCGTTTGGAGCAGTCCAGCAAAGACAGAGAGCCTTTGTAGACTTGTCGGAGCAGCCATGACGCTGCAGCTGATCTTCAGTATCCGAGGCCGACCCAGTAGAGCCTTCACCCTCGATCATTCGTGATGGGTTAGGGTTTCAGGGTTTCGGCCTCCGTCGTAGTCTATTCATAACCCACAAATTTTGGATACACCCCGGTTCCTGCCCAAAAATGGTCCTACATACTCTTCGGCCTGGTCAGCTCCAGACCCTTGCAGGCCTAACGTATCATAGGGGCCTTAGTAGATTGTACAGTATATATAATTATAATATGGAGCCCCCAAAAAGAGTATAGGTAATTATTATGGGGCCCCTACATTAGGCTGGGTGGAAGCGCGGCTTGAACAGGACTTGGGATTGGCATTGTGTTACTTGTGCTTTGCTTTCGATAGTTGCTGCTGCTCCTTGCGGTGTTGGCTCCTCATCCTCTCGATTTTTCTTTGGTGGGCTTTGTGTTCCTCAGCAACGCGCACATGAAACCACTGAAAGGAAGCTGAAGCAGTTCGCGAACATCAGAGAGCAACCAGCAACCAACAAAGGCCCCGTCACAGCTGAACCAAGCCGGAGCTTGGCCAAACTTCCGAGACAAAGCGGAGCTCGACTTACTGTACCTGTCGGAAAGTCAAGGCCCCGTCACACCTGGGAAACAAGGAAACAAGGCAATGGCAATCCACGCCTAGGAACAAACAGCTCGCCTTGCTACACGTAGAAACAACTCCGTGAGTTTCGGGTTTGGGTGAAAGAGTTCAATGGCTCTGGAGCAGCAAAATATCTGCGTAGCCTAATTCAAGGCCAAAACCGCTAAACCCCAAAGGCCCTACCCTTTATGGCTTACAAATCGAAATCACGGCAAATGCATGAACCCCCTGCTCTATACCGTCCAAATGTTTAGCCCAAAGCTTTATTCTCGGAGTTTCGCGAATCATTGGCAGTCGAACTGGTGGCAGTATCCGTTCAACCCATAATTTCTGTCGGAAAGACCCTCCACATGCTTCCCGAATTTGGTGTCTGCATCAGATCCATGCCGAGACTGTCAACACTAGAGCGGCGTGCTTTGCGGAGTGACCTTGCTGTGGGAGGCTTCAACCGCTTGACAGCTTTCGCGACAGGCGCTGTCTGAGATGTTGGGTTCAGCGGGCCTCCGCCCAACAATTCAGATGGCTTAAGGCTCAGGGACGCGAAGGGCCTTAGAGCTTCAGATCATCCACTTGAAGTGTCTGTTGGACTTGGCAGTTCCGGCGTCTAGAAACTCTGGCAAACGAACTTCAGCTTATGTTTCGACTTCTGTCTTCTTGAGGAGAGGTTCAGAAATGGGTAATACTGGGACGGCGTCTTCATTCTCGGAGGATGCAATCATATTCCTGTGCAACATGAAACCTTCTTGGGGCTGCAGGGGATGTCAAAAAGGGACGGTAGGCAAAGCAGTAGCTCGAGTGCGGGGCCCCCTGGATACTCCTGGTTTCGCTGGACAACATGCAGCGAGCCCCACGGTAAATGGAATCCTCACCACTGTTTTTCGTCACCGAAACTCCTCGCTTCAGCCGGACTCCTTCTAGTTGTTCGAGTTTCGCAATTTCACCTGCGTCCCTTTCAGGTGCTGCTGGTGGCTTTGCGTTCACGAACCCTGATGTAGACAATGCCAGATGCCTAGTTTGCCCAGCTATTGCAGTTGCTCTCAACTTGTTTTGAGTTTTGGGGTCGGGCTATAGAACTTTGTCTTCAGAGTGTGGAGGGAGCAGACAGGGACTCATGACCAGGCCCGGTAGTCTTCTTGCTATGTTCTGTTCTTGCACATTCGCACTCTAAGCTCTTGTTGTGCAGACTGTCGGATCGAGCAAGAGCCACTCTCGAGCTCTTTAAGTCCATGGAAAAGGAGGTCGCAGCTCGCACGCACCGGGAGTGGCCAGAGTTGAAGCAGTCGGTGGAGGAGTTCTTCAGCGAAGTGGAGGCCGCTTGCTGGAGGGACAAGGCGGACTTAGCGGCTCTTCCCAGTGAGGTGGGCCAACAAGCTGAGGAGGAGCTTGCAGCGGAGGGGCTTCTCCCGGCAGCCCAGGAAGCAGACCTTGACGCAAGCGACTTAGAGCCCCACAGCCTTGAGACCTTGAAGTCTTTCTGCGAGGAGCTGAAGACTGCTGTGGAGCAAAACCCGCAATTCTTCGAGCAACGGGGCGCGGAGCTGCATCGAGGTTTGGAGAACATCCTGGCGGATCACCTGCAGGGTTCCTATGGCAGGGAGCATCTCTTTATCAAGGCTGCCATCACAGACCATGTCCGCAGTGTCTTCCGAGAGATACAGAGTGACAGCTCTAATCGCACTGTTCTCTATGCCAACTACAAGGAGGAGATCTCGAGGCTGACAGCCGAAATCCGCAGTGAGTCCGAGAGTCTCTCGGCCAACGCGCTGGTGCCGAAGCGCAGGGAAATGGAAGAGCGTCGTGCCAGACAGTTCTACCAACTCTACGAACAGCACAAGGAGCAAGAGAGGGCAGTTACGACCAAAAGTGAGGTGCCACTCCTTCTTGAGAAACATTTGGCAAGCTTCAATCAGGCAGACATGCGGGAGAAGCAGCATCTTGAAGAGTTGCAGAGACAGCACGAGCTTCTTGCATCCAACTGTTTGGCCCTGCATACTCGACAGCGAGATGCGTTGAGCAACATCACGGCGCATTGCCATGCTGAAGAACGGCAAGCCCAGCGAAGCTGCCAGAACAAGCAGGACGAGTTGCAGCAGGAACTTGCAAGATTGAAGGCTCAGTTTGCCAGATGCCAGCACTTGCTTCAAGACATCCGACACCAGCGTCGACATGCCGAACAGCATCGGCTGCAGCGAGCGAAAGTTTCGGAGCTCATGGAGGCGGCTATGAAAGCTGAGCAGAAGAAGAAGGATCGACATGAAACGATTGCGACTCGCTATGCTCAGGGCCAAGCAGTCCTCCAAGCATTCGCAACCTGGATGACCGATTCTTGGCTCTCTTCTGGATGGCTGTTTTAGTACGACTTGATCTCTTGTACCTAGATGATGAGGCCTGAAGCTTATGGCTCCTTATAGGGTTCGGAAGTCAGCCCGAAACCCTACACTCAAACCTCTAAGCAGCGCAAGGATTCCTACCGCTTCATGGAGACGACACTCCTGGATCGCCAGCAGAGGCTGGCGGAAGAGCTGCCGGAGCAAAGGCGTAACTTCAACGCTTTGCTTCACTGCCTCGGGGCTCTTCTTATGGTACCTAAATCACGTCATAGGGACAAACAGTAGAGGGAATGGTGGGTTTGTCATAACGGAGATCCCGGTAAATTGAGCTAACTTGAGAGAATCAGTCTTTGGACAATATCCAAGGCTTTGTCGAGGATTTGGGGAGGCGGAAGGAGGAGAAGAAGCAGGCCATGTCCCATCTTGTCGGCAAGATGAAGCAGAAGTTCCGGGATGCCGCAGCTGAGGAGAGGGTCAAAGGAGGGGAGCAGAAGGCGCGCAACAAGAAGCGGAAGGCCGAAGAGCTTCAGAAACAGATTAGTGAATCACAGGAGGAGTACGATTGGCTGGATGGGCAGGAAAAGAGGCTGAAGACCTTGCCTCAGCTTCGCGAGAAGACGACAGAAGAGTCCCGCACCTGGGCAGGGGACATCCTTTACAACCGTTACTTTGGTGTCCCATGGTCCACTCCAGCGGCACTGGAAGCCCCACAGCAACAAGCTTCCTGGTTCCCTTCCCTCCGGCGTCTTCTTCCAAGGCGCCTCCGTGGAAAACAGGCTCCCTCCGAGGTCAGGCCCTGGTGGTCAGAGACCAATGAGCTTCCGATAACTGACCGACCTCACGTTGCCCTGCTGCAACTGACAAACTGAGGAAGTGGCCACTGAGTTAAGAGCAGTTAAAGGATCAAGTACAATCGACATAGACCTCTTCTTTCACTACGAGCAGCGATGCGAAGCAGGCAGTTTTGGTGTTCTTGTGTCCGTGTCAGCCGGCTGCCGGTTTGCATCGTAAATTCATGCAAGTCTCGTGCCAAGCAAGAAAGCAAATCCTGTAAGCCTTCACTGAGCTGGGGCACATCGTCCTCCAAGCCCTACTGCAATGAACCTACGACACATCGAGTGCCTGTTGCAGTCGGCTGAATACTTCAAGCATGCTGCCACAGACGCAGCGAACTGTTCTACATCAGGGTCGCGGCATGGTATGCCCACCTGATGGTCAAGGGTGTTGTCCTGGTACGGCCGTGGTGTGGCACGCCCGCCGAAACCCGCCAAAAGGCTTTGGTTGCCAACGGAGGTCCCACTCTGCTGCGCCATCGCCACGGCAAAAGCTTTTCGACCTCGCAGCTCGCAGTTTGCCGGCTAACCCTAACCCCCCCATGTACCTACTATATAGGGCCCGCGGGGCTCTAGTACCCTATCTAGTAGGTACTTTGGGGGTTAGGGGTAATCTTATATAGAGCATGAGCATGTCAGCACTCCTGCTGGCTGAGGTCTACGACATCTTCCCCCTCTCCAAGCAGAGGCCTCAGCTGTACGCAGAGCAAGAGCCGCAAGTCCAAGTACCGCAACAGGGCTCTTGTCTTGCGAAAAGCTTTGCCAATCCGACACTCAAATGCTTTCAGCTGGTTACTTTAACGATCATGATCTTGACTATTCTTACATGTACACTTCAAGCCTGCTTGTGACATGCTCACCATGAACTCTTACAGCGTGCACCGAATCCCTGAACCTTCAACCCCCAAACCCCCAAATACTTCAGCCACCAAGCCCGAAAGCAGGCAGCCCGTAGCCTGAGACCCAAAAACCTGCGCCAAAAACATGTCCACTGCCGAAGAAAATTGAGACCGAGGCCCCCTCCGTTTGCCTTCCTGAACCTGCGCGGCCCCTAGTTTCGGGTATGGTTTGGAAATTAGCCTCAGGGCTTTAAGTTGGCATTGTTGCAAGGAAGGATTCTTTGCTCGGTCTTTTTCTGGCTCTGTTTAGTCTCTGTCCGTCGATGTCTCTGTCTGTCTGTCTCTGTCTCTGCCTCTGGGCAGCGCTCTGTATACCCTGTCGCGAAGTTTATTATACAAAAGGACCTATTTGGTTGCTGGCGTCTAGATTTGTATGTTCAACAAGAGGCGTCACGCAACTGGGGCTCGTTAATCCCCTTGTTGGCGCTAGGATAGCGCTAGCCT